ATATATGTAAAAATACATCGCTCTTGCTTTAATGTTTCTGTTTTAATCTTGTTTTATATTACCAATTAAAGTCGTTTATACACAACACAAATACTGTATGGCTCAAGTTTATCATACACTTAAGTCAACTAACTTAGTTAAACAGTACAAAATATACTAAAGATACTAACTAATTCTTTGGCATCTTGGGGGCTACTCATGTGATGCTGGTTCGTTGTATTTGTGGGACCCGAGGGAGGTCCCGATAGAACAGAGTAGATTCTAGGTAAATCTCATTGGCTATTGTTATTTACTTAGAATTAAGTGTTCATGGAACATGAATTATTGAATAGGGGTGAAATAATTCGCCAAGGATTATACCAGCCAGGATCACAGGAGTAGAACCAGTGAGTATGTCAGATAGGAAGATGTTAGGGATGGTTGGATGGGGAAATTGGAATTATGTCTGATGCAGCGAGGTGCTGTTGCAACAATGATACAAGTACCAATGTACGTCGGAGCTTGGGCCTAGTTGATTGACTTGTGCTGATTATGTAAATTTACTTATTGGCCTAATTGCCATACCACCCAATTTTCTGAAACTTAGACAGTGGTTTATAATGTTATATCATACCTCTGTGGGAGACAGTTTTCTGTTCCTTACCGCTCTTAAACATGTTAATGGTTCATCGGCCTGCTTGTGGTAGGACATTGCATTCCTTTTACTTAGAAGGCACAGAAGGGGGGGGACCATTCCCCTTCACTTTTTCTACTGTGGACCTCCCCCCCCCTCCTCTTTTGTGACTGTTCCCAGCACCAGTGACAAACATTTTACAAACGCTGCAATGTCTATTATTATTATTATTATTATTATTATTATTATTATTATTATTATTATTATTATTATTATTATTATTATTATTATTATTTGGTGCTTAGAGACCTTGTTTATTTGCGCCTTATAAATTGACCTATTATTATTATTATAAAATATAGATTTTTTTTTTCATCCCTTGATTTACCTCAGCTCATGGTTGTTGCTGAGGTGAGCAAATATTTGAATAAACACCTCTAGATTTCCGGAAATGGCACATTCAGACTGTAAAGACACATCAAAACAGTGTTTGCAACAGAATGACGCCCATAAAAGCCTGCTCCACGGATCCGCCGGTGGCGCCGCTTATGGTTAGACATACATCATATCAGTGATCCCCACTTAATCATTTATCCTCATCAGTCTCCCTCTCCCCATTGCCATTAGGACAAGAATCACCAACCCGTCCCCTCTCCCCATGGCAAGACACTAGATAGAGATAGTGAGCTACATTAAGAAACACTAATACAGTAATGCCAAAGTAGTTATGTTTTTATTAACAAAACAACTTTTTCTGTATTTGTTAACCATCGGACGGAAATTTTTTTTTTATTAGGATGTTGCGCTGGCAGGATCAACATCTTTGGCGGGCCGGACTTTGCCCGCAGGCCGGGGGTTGAATGTCGGGGGAATAGACACACGCTCCCGCTGGGAGCCCATCTTTCCTAGTGTTAGAAACTTTCGCACGGTACGATGCACTAATAAAATATTAAAATATTTCTAAAGCAATTTTTTGGCACGGTTTTGTTTGATTTTTTAAATATTTGAATCATACTTCAAGAATACATTTTAGATTTATTTCACTGTAAATATGTCGATGATTGTTCTATTATACTTTATCAGAGACTCATGAAATGCCCAATGGGCCCTAAACGATAAAATACAT